TTTGGGGTAAACTTACAGTCAAATTCCTTCATTGTTTCCTTTTTCTTTTCAACACAAATTCCATGTATTTTAGCAATAATAAGGTTAATGCTATTTTTGAGGGCATTATCATTTGCAGAAGCCCTCGATCTTTATCAACTGCCCTCCTTCGTCGGGCAGTTAATGGAAGACCTCGGGCTTCTGCAAATGATAATCCCCTCAAAAATAGCATTACCCTTATAATAGATCGTAGTTTAAACTGATCATATTTGAACAGCATTATGCTTTAAGCTTTCTTTTTCAGTATGAATAGAAATATTCAGTTTGTGTGCAATCTGGTTAATACATTGAGTTACCACCTCCATATAAACCCAGCTTCTTATATGAATGATCAATTAATGCCACGGACGTTATTAATCTAGCTATCAATTTTCTTTTAGAAAACGATCATTTCACATAAAAGATACCGTTTCGATTGATTGTTTTAGTATTTTACAGTATTCTGGGATCCATGTTGTTCGCATTAATTATGTCGCTAGGTTTGTCAGATTCATACCTTGTTGGTGCGTTTTAACGATGTGGTTAACATGTAAGTCATCCATCACTTTGTGTTTTCCTCCCACATGGAACTGATTGCTCACTCACTTACTCACTCGGGGCTGTGGGGTAGTCTAGTGGTTAAAGTGTTCGCTCGTCACACCGAAGGCCCGGTTCGAATCCTCACATGGGTACAATGTGTGAAGCCAATTTCTGGTGTCCCCCGCCGTGATATTACTGGAATATTGCTAAAAGCGGCGTAAATCTAAACTCACTCACTCACTTTCTCACTCACTCATTCACTCACTAACCCTCTCACACACTCACAGGCCCATGAATGAAGGCTGAAGAAGAAGAAGCAAACAAAATCGTGTATATCTACAACTTAAATATTTTAAAGTCATGGACGAATGAATAAAGTATTTTGAAACAGTTGACTATTCTTTGACTATTTTTTATTAATACATACCCCTCTGACATTTAGAGGATCCTTTTGAAGTGATGTGATTTTTGAGTGGAGACATGGAGATACTGACGTCACTTCCGGAAGGGCTATGGAGCTAACTTGAGTCGAGGGTATTTAATAAATGAATTATTAAACTGAGGTAGTGAAAACAGGTTTAATGTCGCTTTCAAGATTATTGAAACATTATATGGCCACGTGCATGCATGTAGGAGTGCGTGCGTGTGGCTCTACCTATACTAGTACCGACTAATGCCAGCATTACAGTGCTAGCCCATACCAAGTCTTAGTTTAACAAGGATACCCAACTCCGACACAGTGTACTGACTTCCAGCGGTTCACTCTAAACTCAATCCCGCAAATGACGTACGCCAGCCAGGGTAGTAACAAGTAACATCTCACAACGTCACTTCGTATGACGATGTCTGGGATCGAACCACCACCAACCTGTGTTGCTGTCCAACCCACTTGTCAGTCATCTTCTCCCGGGTGTTATAAAAGGGCAGACAACTCTAAACGCCGTCGACATCTGCAGAATCAGTTCTTCGCCGTATCAGCAGATCGATTTGGTTGAAACCAAAGAACACAAGAAACCGTGATGCAAGGCATCAACACGGCGCCAGAGTCAATCTTCTATGTTAAAAAGACAATCGTTTTGTTCTAAATGCAGAAACATTCTTTCAAACTGACAAGCGAAAAACAATTTGCAATCAAGTGATCAAGTGCACAAACGTTGTTTGTCTGATGCCTACATTAACCCTACTATTTTGTGTCACGTGACGGGTTTGTGTGATATCGCCGGTCCTACCATATACGCCGATCTTAACACCGGTCAACGAATCAATATAATCAAGTGCAGCAATATACCATCTTCCCCTCTCAACAATGCAGCGACAGATAAAAGCTGGCATTCGATACGTCTTAGAAGTACACTTGATACAATAATTTCAAGTTAAACCAAAACGTTCTATGACTACATAGGTTGAATAGTTTGAACATATGTCCCCGATTCTCATACCCTTTGTCTTTTCACAATAAATAAATAAATAAATAAATAAATAAATAAATAAATAAATAAATAAATAAATAAATAAATAAATAAATAAATAAATAAATAAATAAATAAATAAATAAATAAATAAATAAATAAATAAACAAATAAATAAATAAATAAATAAATAAATAAAATTGCCAGTGAAAAAGATTCTTTAATTTTACTATGATTGAAGCCATAAACTATGAAACACACTGAATCCATCAAATGGAATGCATGACAACTGAATTAAATTGCCGAGTTCACTGCGTGCCCAGTTGTATTTGTTGCAGTTCATGTAGGAAAACAAAATATAAAAAATGTTCATTTCTGTTTTCAATAAAAATAGAAACAAAGTCGAGAAACATGTATATTATTCTGCAGTGTTACTGCATAAATATTGCCAATATACCAAACCATTAAAGGTTATAAATTGACAAAAGGCCTGCTATTACTTCACATATTTGTTAACCTGAAACGTCATTAGTTGAGCGGTGTTTGATTAGGTTCCACGTGCGTCCGTTAAACAGTTTTACTTCAAAATGACATATAAATGCTTCAACATTTGTTTTGCCATTAAATCTCGCCGGAAAGCTGGTCGCTTGAAGTATCCCTGTTTGATGTTATTGATTTGTCATAACATGAAGACAATTGTACAGACAATTGTAACATAATGTAGTGTGTGTTTTCATATCCTTTCATGAAAAAATGTTTCATGTCTTAATTGCAACGTTTAGTTAAAGGCATAATAGTCTGTTTAAAATATGTGCACCCAAGCAAATACTCCCAATAGTTTCTAGTCTGTGACACTGGAAGACAAATATTGTATAAAAAACATGCACGTATATAAGTGGCAAGTTTAGAATACTGCGGAGTCAGTTACTGAAAATGAAGCCAGTATCTTCAGTTGACATCTTTTTATTAAATTGTATTACGTTAATTTACGAAATCTCTTTTTCTGTAAAGTATGTTCATTTCAGAGACAAAATGTTAGTCTCAATAGTTTCAACTCTGGCAATATACTGACTCTCATCCAAATGCAGGATATGATACAATTGATACAAGCTGGCGTGTGTTTCGTTTAAGAGTGAGCGAGTTTGTGAGTATGGTTTTACGCCGCTTTTAGCAATATTCAAGGAATATCACGGCGGGGGACACCACAAATGGGCTTCACACATTGTATCCATCTGGGGAATCGAACCCGGATCTTCGGCGTGACGGGAGAACGCTTTAACCACTAGGCTACCCCACCACCCAATTTAAGAAAACAAGTAGGTATTGTCATAAATTCTGCACATTCCAAGTACGAGCCCCGCCTTATCGTTCAAGAACTTATATCGTCCAATCGAAAGCAGCTTTCGTAACTTGAGGTCAAGGTCACCTAACAAGTTGCATCGAAAAGCGTGACTGACTGTAGCATGTAGACGACATAGCTGAAACGGCTAATAGCCTTGCATGAACCGCCGTCAGTAGAACTGGCAGAGTAATGGTGACATGAGCGTGGGGTTGCGTGACGAAGCCTCGAATCAGACACAGACATTGGGTAAGTATGAATATAATTTATTTCATTCAACAGACACGTGACAACAATGTACTGTACACGGTGAGAAGATGGTCAGTAATACCTATTGTAACAATCGCCCCTTTGCCGAGCTGTGCTGCAACATTCGTATGTTATTTTGTTCATTCAGTGTAAAGCATGTACATCCTTCTCTAGATATGTACAGATCCCCTCCCCAAAAATTTAAAAAAAAAAAAAAAAAAAGATATCCATTGCAATAGAAAAATCAATCAGTTCAATAACCAAAACAATTAAATCACCTTTGACAAAAACACCATTATCCACCCATCAACCGATTATAAAGATACAGTAAATTAAAACAATAACATATGATGGAAAATATTAGTAGATTATATTAAAAACCTGAAAACTAAAATGGCCCAGAAATGTATCACCCCTCTCATTAAATAAATAAATAAATAAATAAATATATATATAAAAAAAAAAATAAATAAAATATTGTGTCATAAAACATAAATTTAAAACGTAGAAACGTATTTATACTATTCACACTTTGCTAAGGATCAAATCATGGATTCAACAGAAAACTAGGATGTGGGGTCAAATTTGGTTTCAATATCTAAGCTTAGTGTAAGCATGGATCCTGGGGTTCAGTATGTCCTTTCATCTTGTGGAACCCATGCCTGCTACTGACAGGTGTTGTGTACTTGTCAATAACTCGTTCCATGATTTGTAAAATGGTTGATTGGTGCCATGAAAACCATATTTATGGTTACTCATGTATCAAGTGCATAAGGTTAGATTAAAGTGACTGTTTGCCTAAAGAGGGGTTACCATTTTATTATTTATCCAGTTTTGAATGGACATAATTCCAAATTATGAATCTACGTTTAAGTAAAGCTGTAAATTTGTGTGATCCTTAGCAAAGCGTGAGCAGTATATTTGTTCTCCTACACGTCGTAGTCTGCCTCAGCATTAATGAAGGATGTTACAGATTGTTCGGATGCACTAACAAATGTAATAATAAATCTATAAATAGTGAGATGTCATTTCGTAAGCAAAATAGTTGAACGGCATAGAAAAGAGATGGAAAGATGAAAAGGGCTGTATTTTTATAACCTGTGAAAGGTTGGTGATAGTCTGGTATTCAGATGACAAACGATTAAGAATGGAGAGTATGTTTTGACTGCACATGGACATTGGAATTGCACACCTCGTTGCTTATTATCACTCGCAGACACCTGCTTAAAACAATACTAGCTCTGTTGGTCTGGCAGGAAGAAACAAAGTTTTTATTACGAAACGTTCGACAGTGAATGTGAGAAATAACACATATTTATCTTCAGACTATAAGGAAAGAAAACTGGATCCACCTGACGAAGGGGCAAAACTAGCCCAGAAACGTTGTGTAAAATAAATCAAGAAGTTGTTATCCATAAGATTTGTCTTGTATTACTACACCAACTTCTAAATGCCTTTGAAGAATTTCAAGTTTCTGAACATTACTGTTAAGTTTCTACTTAATACCAAAATGTAATAGTTCATAATAATTCAAGTTTTTGTCCAAGTACCTGTGGCTATAAGTGGTTTATAACAAGAGAAAAATATGACTGATTCGATGTCCTAAACATGATTTATAGTAGGTAAGCGAGTCTTTATGTATTCATAATTGTATACACAGGTATTATCTCAGCCAAATTGTGACTTGTAATACAGTAATTGTCCAATTCATGAAATTACTTGTGTTGCATTATATTACTCGTGCATATAAAGCACATAAAATTTAATTTGAAGTGAATGAAAAATAGTATATACATAATACACTATGTGCAATTTGAAACGTAAACGATATACACATTTACATAGCACTGACCAATATCACGTATACAGTGACTGAAATTTACAAAGTCATTCAACCATCCATTCATGTTTCACACATTGTTTCATCGCATGATATGCATTTGAAATAGATTTGAGAATCTGTCAAGTCATTGTTCATCATAACGATACACAATATAGAAGTAACATCCCTCGTTGATGTTGAAATCACTGTGGTCGGAGAAACTTGGACATGATCGAGGCCGCCATTTTCAGTTGAATACGTGGCCACTGTCTGGGATCAATGATAGGAACAACCGTTTCATGGTGGCTTGAAAGTCAATAATTATTTATTAATTGAGTTGAGACATCAGCCATTATTCCTTGAGCCATCTTCTGCCCAAGGTTGAAGGTTTTGAAGAGCGTTTAGGGACGAATTACTCATACACAGTGGGTCACGAATGTCGTAAATCGTCTTACTAGCTTCCGCTTGTAACGACATCATCAACCGGTTTGCCGCTTGTCGTTCGGCTTCTCTTTCTTCTGCGGTTTGTCGCCTGGGAAAAGAAGAGAACATCTTAAATCATCGGCATAAACAGTGATACGATGTCTGTATTATTATCAGTGGACAAAGATATCGCAAATATCACGCACTGATCTATTATCCAGCTAGTTATTTCAATGAGTAGCTTCACGGAATATATTTCCCCCTCAGCTTTTATATCAGTAAGCATAGTACATAGTATAATATCGCACTCGAAACATGTACATTAATTGATGCATGTATTTCTAAACAAGGCTGACTCTGAAGGGTAACAAATTTAAGAATTTAAGAAAACAATAATTTTTCGTTTCTCTCTGAATTCGACAGAATATATGTTCGTGCATATTGTACATATTGAACACGGCGTGGTTAATAAGTAGACAATCAGTTCCAGTTACCTCCCAGGGTGTGATAAAACAATCATTGTCTAATGTGTCTTTAATCTTTAGACGCTTCAAGATTATTGTCTCCAATGGCAACTACGTATAATTGAATAACCAAGACTAATTAAGAACACTATCATCGTGGACTGACATTTTGAAGGCATGGGATGTGACTTTACGGAAACAATATTGAAATAATACTTAGTATACACATCGTGTGTATACGTATAAAGTAATGACCACATTTGCTGAGTGTTTTGTACTACTATTGACGAAGGTGCGGGTACTTAGAATTAATTCAAAAGATGCGAGAATTTAATTTAGGATTGGTTTGGATGGTTCTCAATCGGGGAAGTATCATCTTGTTTTACGTTATCAAGAACTTCAGAAGTTGTTTCCAGTCCTGCTTTTATCTCAATCAAACTCTACGTCACGTGGTCTGCCAGCTTACATGTCTAACAACAGCCTTTCAATGGGGACACAATGCTGGCTTCTCGGTGAGGGAGAGCTTCTAATCTCAGATGATGTGGTGTTAGTCGGGGGTTAATAGCATTTCACGCTCTGATCAGAGCAGATGGATCAATTATTAGTACTTGGAGTTCAAACACGCTGAACAAATTGAATAACTCTGGTATTGGCGAACAATTCGATTTTGCTGAGCCACGAGGGCAATTACTCGAGTCTTTGAAGAGCATGAGTTATCTCCCATGACGCTTTTGAGTCAACTTGTCAGGATGCTCACCCGCCTATAAAAATTTAACCGAACTACTGTCCACAATATTAGATTCTTTGAGAGCATATGTGAGGTCTCATAGAAAGTTGATAATGTTAAACGCATACCTTTCAGGATTTAATTGGATTCTGTACTTATCTAATCGTGCTCGATTACCACTGAGCGGGTCAATCGACGTCTGATGTTGAAGGTAAAGGTGCTCTCACAGATTTGTAATCCCATGTGAGTTTTTTTACTGTCTCTTTGCATTCTGGGATGCATTTGCAAGAAAGAAAAACACAACAGTCTAGACGTGACAAGCACTACCTGGAGATTCCAGCAGTCTGCCGAGCTTTGAAACAACACAGTATTTCAACATGGCTCGTTGCAGCGAAACAGTTGAAGAGCCGAATTAAAACTATTCAATTACTATTCTTTTCAACATGTGTAGGTAAGGATCTTGATATAAATACATCCTAAGTCGTGAGTCACGATGTCCTTACAGATAAAGAAATGTCTGTCTCTCTCGAGAATACATACATGTATATTGCAGATTCGTTTTAAGTAAATAAAGATGAAATTTAATCAACCACAATTATTCATTTAGGAACTCTTTTTTCAATGCATGTACGTAGATTGAAACTTTGGAAAAAGATGAATCAAGATTCATTTTAGATTTCAAACAGATTGTGAATTAAGAAAAAAGTATTTTCGAGATGTATTTTGATAAAAAACAAACGTTATAAAACATATTGTGAATTGTATTCAAGCAGGATCAGTTTCGCAAATTCATCTTTTCAGACCACTTTTAAATTGTCTGCATTGTTTTAGAAGTCAAATCACGATGCATTTATATTTAGATTTGGTTTTTAATCTCTTCTCTCTTATTGCTATATATTAGTCATTGAGTATAGTATAAGAATAGCTTTCATGAAGTTTGTGTTTGTTTATTGTTTAACGCCGCACTCAGCAATATTCCGGCTATATGGCGACGGTCTGTAAATAATGAGACTGGACTAGACAATCCAGTGATCAACAGCATGATCATCGGTCTACGCAAATGGGATACGATGACATGTGTCAACCAAGTCAGCGAGCTTGACCACCCGATCCCGTTAGTCGCCTTTTACGACAAGCATGGGTTGCTGAAGACCAATTCTAACCCGAATCTTCACGGGTTTTATGCAACACATTCCTGTTCGCGACTTTATGAATGGTTAATAGGTAGTAATTAATATTTTAGATCAAGGATCAGATTCCCGTAATTATAGAGCATGAAGTTAAATTACATAGGTACGCCATAACAGATACCCATTAAGTAACGATCAGCAATGACCATCAATAGCTTGATATGAATTACTCGGAAAGAAGAAAGCACAATGAATGATTTGATTACATATCATCAAGAAAGACCACTCGTCCATATATCTCACCTCCATTTCGTCCTCCTGTTCTGGAACCAGGTCTTGACCTGGGCGTCGGTCATCTTCAGCGCTTTGGCCAGGGCTGACCTTTCAGCTGAAGCCAGGTACTTCTGTCGATGAAAGCGTTTCTCAAGTTCCATGATCTGTAGGCGAGAGAACGATGTCCGTGGCTTCTTCCGCTTCGGCGGGGTCCTGTTCTGATAGGGATGTCCAACACGCCGGACAACTGCAATAGGTCAGACATTAAGGTTAGATTTGGGGGATAGTTGTATAACAAACACACTTATAACGAACTGACGGACGAACTGTTTTTGTTATCCGACCATTTACAAACGACGGTTATAAAAATTAAAAGTGGTTTTCCTTTTGAGTTCGTTTTAACATTAAATTATATTGTTTCTATACGACCATCACAATGACCTCTGGGTATTCTTACAAATTACATAACCAACGTAGACACCATCTTCCGTGTGTATATAAACAAGATGTGCAAAAAAGTATAAACTGTTTTCTGTATTTCATATATCACAGAAGGCTCTATTATTATGTGTTAGAAAACCGAAAATGTAGAACTAGTTTTTCTGAAGAAAGGTGGTTAATGACTCAGCGGTTAAGCTGTGTTTATGGAAATAGTCGATACGAGCTAGTGACTTGATAAAGATGCCCGAGCATCAGAAGCTGTATTTAAGCCTATAGCAAACCAGGGCCCCGTTTCACAAAGCTCTCGTAGCGTTACGACTTTCGTAAGTCAATGTTACAGTATAAGAGGTACGAATGCTACGAAAACAGTTACTAGATCTAAGGCGTACGAGAGCTTTGTGAAACGGGGCCCAGGACTAGATCATGTTCCACAGTATGCTCAAACTGCTAAGCAGTTGTTCTGTGAGTTGTTCATAGTGAAATTACGATAATGGACTTATCTTTATCTGGACCGTGTTATTTGCGCAGTTGACGACATGAGACACATGAACAGAGGGTGATAAATATTATCTTCAGAAGTATACCTTTAGTAGTTCTAAACTGAAAGATGATAATTCAATATTCGTGTGATTGTTGGTGTTACTGAAATATGACCTTGATCATAATTAAAAGTGAATTTAGGCCTACGGTAGTCTGTCTCACAGTCCCTGAACAATCTTATTTACCCTACTGCATAGCCCTCTCTGCAATGCTAAAGCCCTAAATGAAGCAAGTCTAGATTTTCCATTGTTCAGGTCTGAATCTCTGGTGTCCCTGGGGCTCATTTTCAATATACATGGGTTATTTGTTATAATCAAAATTATATATATTCAGAGGCTAAGCGTTAGTCTAGGCCTACGGCTCAAGACCTCTAGATGAACTGTTAGATGCAAATCATGTTGACGTAGCAAGTCGCCAAGGACAGTGAATGAGTTGTGAGTGAGTGAGTTTGGGTTCGCCGTGTTTAGTAATAGTCAGGGGACACAAGGCATGGAATTCACACTTTGCCGTCACGGGAATCGAACCCGGGCTTTAGGTAAACGCTATAACCCCTAGTATCTGAACAGCATCTTCAGAACAAACACGTTACGAGTCCACTCGGAAAGTTATATTTATGTCGCTACCAGTCATTACGACATCTTTGGGATGGGTCCAATTTCTTCTCCAGTTCCGAGATACGTTCCTTATGACAATGTTATGACATGAATGGAACAGTTTTTCTGAGTTGTGCATTGCTGGTAAACCCGCTGATAGAATCAACCTTTAAATCTCAATCTTTTTTTAATAATCACTGACGAGGTAGTCACCGGTGTAATTATTGACATTTCAACACACATTTACCTTTCCTTATAATGGGAAAGCACAACTGCAATGTTTCGACATTAATAACATGTACATTTCGTCTTTTGATATGTAAAAAATGACACCAGGTGTTCGCGAAGAAGAAAGCCTGCCTTGCTTATCGGCAGCATCTGCTATAAACATGGAGATTGATTAACTATTCGTAAACTATCAATTATCGCTACAAGAAACAGTGAATAGTGGATTAAAAAATATGATATGAACGTGAACAATGGAAGGTATTCCAAGAGACGGTCTTCAAAATCCATGATGGAGAGAAATAGTTATCACCCAGTCGGTGTATATTCACCAATGTTATACTGAATACGTTCTTTCTGTATCTGGTTGCTCAAGCTAGTTTTAGTTCTATTTAGTGATATTTTCTGCAGACCATATTAACAGTGTTACTTCCTGGTGCCTGTATTAAGAATGTTAGTTCCTGATGCCTACATTATAATTAATACTGTCAACATCATAAAGTGATATTTTCTGCAGACCATATTAACAGTGTTACTTCCTGGTGCCTGTATTAAGAATGTTAGTTCCTGATGCCTACATTATAATTAATACTGTCAACATCATAAAGTGATATTTTCTGCTGACCATATTAACAGTGTTACTTCCTGGTGCCTGTATTAAGAATGTTAGTTCCTGATGCCTACATTATAATTAATACTGTCAACATTATAAAGTGATATTTTCTGCAGACTATATTAACAGTGTTACTTCCTGGTGCCTGTATTAAGAATGTTAGTTCCTGATGCCTACATTATAATTAATACTGTCAACATTATAAAGTGATATTTTCTGCTGACTATATTAACAGTGTTACTTCCTGGTGCCTGTATTAAGAATGTTAGTTCCTGATGCCTACATTATAATTAATACTGTCAACATTATAAAGTGATATTTTCTGCAGACCATATTAACAGTGTTACTTCCTGGTGCCTGTATTAAGAATGTTAGTTCCTGATGCCTACATTATAATTAATACTGTCAACATTATAAAGTGATATTTTCTGCTGACTATATTAACAGTGTTACTTCCTGGTGCCTGTATTAAGAATGTTAGTTCCTGATGCCTACATTTACAATGTTATTTTCCGATGTGTATATTTCCAGTGATATTTACTTATACCTACTTTATCAGTTATGGTGTGACATTAACATTGTTATTTCCTTACGCCTACCTTTAAGTGTTACAGTTAAACGTCTATTGCATTCTGCCTACATTACAAACAGTATTTCCTTATGCACTGCATTACAGGTGATAGTCACTAAAGCTAACATTAAGAAGTAACAGCGTTATATCCTTGTGTCTGCATTAAATTGCTACATTAACATTAGTATTTCTTGATGCCTACTATAAAGGTGACATAGAGAGTACTATATCATATTGCCTTCATTCAAGATGTAGTTTCGTCATGTCTTATTTCCGAAGCCTATATAAACAGTGAAACTAAATTAAAAGTGTTCTTTGTCGTAAAATATATATTAATAGTATTATTTCGTCATGTCAACTTGAATAGTGATAAAATGTTACAATAACAGTATTATTTCGTCATGTCAACTTGAATAGTGATAAAATGTTACAATAACAGTATTATTTCGTCATGTCAACTTGAATAGTGATAAAATGTTACAATAACAGTATTATTTCGTCATGTCAACTTGAATAGTGATAAAATGTTACAATAACAGTATTATTTCGTCATGTCAACCTGAATAGTGATAAAATGTTACAATAACAGTATTATTTCGTCATGTGAACTTGAATAGTGATAAAATGTTACAATAACAGTATTATTTCGTCATGTCAACTTGAATAGTGAAAAAATGTTACAATAACAGTATTATTTCGTCATGTGAACTTGAATAGTGACAAAATGTTACAATAACAGTATTATTTCGTCATGTGAACTTGAATAGTGATAAAATGTTACAATAACAGTATTATTTCGTCATGTCAACTTGAATAGTGATAAAATGTTACAATAACAGTATTATTTCGTCATGTGAACTTGAATAGTGATAAAATGTTACAATAACAGTATTATTTCGTCATGTCAACTTGAATAGGGATAAAATGTTACAATAACAGTATTATTTCGTCATGTGAACTTGAATAGTGAAAAAAATGTTACAACAACAGTATTATTACGTCATGTGAACTTGAATAGTGAAAAAATGTTACAATAACAGTATTATTACGTCATGTGAACTAATAGTAATAACATATGACAGTAACAGTGTTCGTTCGTCATGCCTAGATTATCAGTGTTATTCCCAGATGCTTCTATTAACTGTATTATGTCTCGATGTTTGAATTAAGCGTTAAAATTTATTTGGTCCATGTATGAAAAGTGTTATACCCTGGTGCCTACATAAAAACCGTACATTAACAATGCAACATACATTAACTGTGTGTTTTCTCAGTGCCTACATTAAAATGTTACATTAACCGTGTTATTTCTCAGTGCCTACATTAAAATGTTACATTAACCGTGTTATTTCTCAGTGCCTACATTAAAATGTTACATTAACCGTGTTATTTCTCAGTGCGTACATTAAAATGTTACATTAGCAGTGTTATTTCTCAGTGCGTACATTAAAATGTTACATTAGCAGTGTTATTTCTCAGTGCCTACATTAAAATGTTACATTAGCAGTGTTATTTCTCAGTGCCTACATTAAAATGTTACATTAACATTTCATGTTACATTAAAATGTTACAATAGCAGTGTTATTTCTCAGTGCCTACATTAAAATGTTACATTAGCAGTGTTATTTCGGGATGTCTTCATTAACATTGATCTTTCCTGACACTCACATTAACAGAGTCGTTTTCTGTTACTGGTGCGCACACAGATAGTCATGTTCTGGTGCTTTTGCCCACACACTAACACAGTCATGTTCTGGTGCTGAGGCACACACACCAACAGAACCATGCTCTGGTTCATCAACAGTTATGGTATGGTGTTGGTGCCCACTAACACAGTCATGTTCTGATGCCCACACAGTAACACAGTTATGTCCTGGTGCAGATGCCCAGTAGGCCCACCCACTGCACAGTCAGGTTCCCCACACACTAACACAGTCATGCTCTGGTTCACCAACAGTTATGTTCTGGTTCTGGTGCCCACACACTAACAGAGTCATGTTCCGCTTCTGGTGTCATATGCTCTGGTGTTGGTGCCCAGATACCAACAGAGTTATGCTCTGGTGTTGGTGCCCAGATACCAATACAGTTATGCTCTGGTGTTGGTGCCCAGATACCAACACAGTTATGCTCTGGTGTTGGTGCCCAGACAACAAACAGTTATGTCATGTTCTGGTGGTGCCACACACTAACAGAGTCATGTTCTGCTTGCTGCTGACCAACCTGGCACGTGTCATACCAACACAGCTCTGGTGTTGGTGCCCCAACACAGATACCAGATACCAATACAGTTATGCTCTGGTGTTGGTGCCCAGATACCAATACAGTTATGCTCTGGTGTTGGTGCCCAGATACCAATACAGTTATGCTCTGGTGTTGGTGCCCACTAACTAACAGAGTCATGTTCTGGTTCATTAACAGTTATGTTCTGGTGCAGATGCCCACTCAATAACAGAGTCATGTTCTGGTGTTGGTGCCACGCACCAGTCATGTTCTGGTGCCATAATATCATTGTTTGGAAATACGTGAAACATACTACGTTTACATGGCGTGCCTTCGTAGATCTGCTGTACATTAATAATTCACCTAATCTTTACATTCACTTCTGTTTTGTTTCCCAAAGCACTTTGGCTTTCATCACTGAACGCTAAGCAATTCACAGAATAAGACTCTAAACGTTGACATTTCACATACATATGATAACACGGTGACTCACAGTGTACTTCAAATTATGATGAAGTATACCTGATTAAATATGACACACATATGTAAGATGTTACATGTATGAGATTTAAGACGCTCACGACTAAATATCTATTAACAAAACAGGCGTGTGTGCAGATTGGACATGCAAACACGCAAACGCACACGCAAACACACGCAAACACACACACACATTACATGCATGTATGTTCCTTCACTCACTTAAAGCAACATGTTGGGCATCCGGATACTCTATTCACTAGAGCTGTGACGATATATCGTAGTATCTATAATCGTGATACTTTATCTGACGATAAATATATCGATACGTTTTTTCGTATCGTGATATGTATCGTTGACTTTAAATTTGTTAATTTTCATTAGATATTGACGGTTATGTCAATATTTCTTCCGATTAAAATATGATTTTTTAAAGAAAATAACTAAAGAAAGCATATCGTGATAGCATCGAATCGAATCGTATCGTTCCAAGATATCGCGATACGTATCGTATCGTGAAATTTCTGTATCGTCACACCTCTACTTTTCACTGAGTGCGAATTGTGACACAATGTACTCTCATGTTCGTGAATAATGCACATGCAAAATGAACATGCACATTCTACAATCTCCGCATGCACACAAGCACGTCTCCAATCACATTAATGAGTTTGTAAATCCAAACATCCGGGGAAGGCTCCAGACAACGGACAAGCAGAGCAATGTTGTGATGTATCTTTCAGTGTCTCAGTGAAATAAAACCAAGACGTTTATGTATCTTCACATGTGAGTGATAACGATTTTTAGTAAGTCGGTGCTAAAGGGGTGGAAATGGATCGTCAATATATGACTATAATCATCAAAAATCTTTGCCAAAATTGTCCGATTCCGATTATATGATAAGCTTGTACTTTATAAGTAACGGTACTATTGCCAGACAGAGTTATCAATTAGGATTACAGCAAGAGTAGCCTAGGACAGCTTATGGTAACGTCAACATATTATAAACCGAATTTACGAACTTACTGCTTTTCAAAACTGGAATAAATTCGACTATTATGCCATACATTTCGTAACAATGGAAAAAAAAGTCTAAAAAATGTTTCGAGTGATTAAACTATTGATTTTATTGATAACGTATGGCTGAACAAATCTAAAAAATATATTCAGTTCTAACCTCCCCGTTATAGTGCCAAATAATTAAGTGCCTGTGTAGGACGCTTAACAACTTACGTCTTCAGCGTAATAGCAAGTTCCACTAAGGCAATTTACATGCAAAGTGGATTATACTCTCATAATCGATTTCTATTGTTTGGCTGCATTAAGTTTTATTTATTGAAACAAAACCTACCAAAATTATCATTTCTAATGAAGATATAAAAAACGCATGTTTAATAATGTATAAAAGATTCAAAAACATTAAATTAAGCAGGAGATCTATATGTTCCATCCTAATCCATCTGCAAAGTACAACTGACACTTTTATGTTTTACTGAATTGCCATTCAAAGACAAAAAGGCAAAACAAATCTCCATTATATGTCATGGATTGTGAGAAGAAGTATCCCAAGTTGATGTATTAGTAATTTAAGATTTAAGGAGATAATCAAATCAAACACAGTGGCTTAAATTTGATATTCCTTCAAAAATCAATTTACAAAAGCATTCATCAAACTCTCCAGTTTAGAACTTCTAGAAACGACATACATATTGTACCATAGGTGATTATTGTATTAATTGATTACCTCTGAGTAAGATAATGGCTTTTGATTGGTATCATAGTGGCCAAGACAACAGTATTGATCAATAATCACGGATGGGATTAGCACCAACAAATGAGGGAGCGTATAGAAGGAAATACCTCACGGCATCGTGTCGTTTTGAAAATTGTTCTATAATATGAACATCAATTTTCATTATCCGCCATTATTTTCTCATTAGTGTATTGCTACTTTTTGACAAGTCTTAAACGATAATCACAGATTCGAGACTGCACAGAAAAGAAATCAAAAGGGGAGATCTAAATAAATTTGAATGAATCGAAATCCATGGTTATCAGCATTATATATATCATTTTCGATAAATAAGACCGAAATAGGCATACTTATGAATAGATGCACAGGCTAAGAGGAACAGCTTACTCTTTGAAATTCATATCAGATTTATATATTGTGGTGTTCCAGCAATACAACATATTGACATGTACTTGTGCATCAACATTTAAACTAAATGGGTACGTGATGTTTTTGTCCCCCTTCCCCCAAAAAGAAAAAAAAAGAAAATTTATTAAAATTTTCACTTTTTATTAACATTTCTATGATCTGTTCACATAATAGCGTTACCGTGCTACTGCAGGTCTTCATTTAGGAAACAGCTTTTATAGTTAACAAAAATATGTAAATATACAACTGCAGAATTGCTGAGGGGTCGTAATCAACGTCATAACAATGTGATTCATAGTATTTTCGACATCAATAAAACAACGATAAAATAGACAGTTTTTGTGCCTGTTAAAGAGAATTGCCAGAGGGAGGTTTGGGTTTCTCCGCCTGTCGCAGGACAATTATACAGTCACAACTGTAACCTGATTGGATTTAGTAGTGACAGAAGAAAGCGTAATATGCATAACAAACCGTCACTAGCTGGGATTACATGCCAATAACAATAGACGGTCCGCTATATCAAATTAGGCACAGGAACTTTTAGTTACCATCAATTTCCTCAACATTATATGCCGGAATGCTTTAGAACATGACGCAGACAAGCAATAAACATTTGAAGATTCTCATATCGATATCTTATGGACAAGGATGGACATTGTTTTTCAATATACGATGATTTTGTCAAATGTATTTGAACGGTATGAACCTGTTTCGTCTAATTTTTAAAACAGGTAAACAGTAGCAATTAGACGACCCAGGCATAGTTAGGATTGAGTGACTTTGCTCGTTAGACGAAGTAGGCATGTGGACCAATCCATTTCAAACTTAACAGGGATGTTACCACAAAATAAAAACAAAGACAACATAGATATATTTCATCGTATATGTTTATCATTTATTAATTTACTGTACTATTTGCATATATATCTCACACATATATAAAATTCACAAATACATAGAAATATATTTGGATATTGATTAACAGGACTTTGTCAACTTTGATCATTTTAAATGCAACAGGTATGTAGATAAATAGCAGGACTATCCATCAGATCAATTTTTTTTAACAAAAATGTGATCTAATGTAAATTGATATAGATTAGTTGAGTATATTAAAATACTTTCATATATATAAAAACATGCTATTTCAGGTGAAAAGGAAAACCTTTTGGTATATTGGTTTTATAAGGAGGATTTTGTTTATAAATATTTCTTTTACTCGGCGAAACGTTTTCAAACGCGAGAAAGAAATCAACAGTGTGACTGAAACTGATATCTAACTTATACTACACGAAAGAACTACAAGGCATGCTGAGCCGCTCAAAAATGTTTTCAATTTTCCTTGACATTAGAGAAGCTTGGGGATTCCAGACTGACTTTGTGCGTTCGCACACATGAATCAACAAGTCTGGTTTCAAACTTGCTGGCACCGCGGCAATTATTGTCACGAGGATATAAAATTACTACAAACTTAAAAAAACCTTATCGATCTTCTGTTTATTTACATAACTCTCACAATTGTCACAAAAATAGAACAAGATCGAGGTTAAATGTCAGATAATACGTACGCTGATAAATACATATGGACCTAATCACACAAATACTTTACACGTACATTTTACGAATATGAAATAGACTTACGTGCAACTTACCTCCAAATCTGTCCCGCCGAATATCTACCCAGGGTATACTGTAATTCGGCCACAGAGGCACAACAGGGTGGGGTCTGTGGGTGGGGACACGTATCACCCCCGTAGACTCAGAGTTTGTCAGGTACGGGATGCACCCCACAGGCGAAAATGGCACGTTTTTAATGATGGGTGAATAAGGATTGTCGGATGAAGGACTGAAAGGACCTTGGGACAAGGATGATTTCGGTGACCGGGGGCGATCGTCTCTCTTCAGGGGTGCCTCGCCAAGAATTTTCTTGATGCTGAAAGACAACTCTGTGTCGGAATCCTTCTGGACAACGGCTTCTTCGCTTCTATCTTGTGACATATTGCTGTGTAGCCAGCGGTCAGTAAACTCAAGCTAGAACATCAGTTGTGCGAATCCAATATCGCCTCCATCTTACAAGCATAGGTGTGAAAGAGTGTAAAAGAGCATCTTAATAGTTAGTCTATTAAATAAAGCACTAGGCCATTTCTCAGATCAGATATAGTCAGCTAATTGTCAGGAGGGTCATTAAAACGACATGACACTTGCAGTGTAGAAAGTCGCACGTGGACGACCCCACTGGCTGCTGATTGGTTTAGCTCTAGTTGCTGTATAGCGCCATCTGTCAACAAGCCACGCCCCCTATCAGTTCCTTCTCGCGTTACTACAAGGAAAATCCGTTCAGTGTTTCTAACAGCGAAAACGGATCGATTGGCGAGCGCTCTTTGAAATTAGAAATCTGTTGTGAAAATCTGACAAGTGCCCGCTTCTAACTATTGGAGTCCAACTGCGAGTGGAATTAGCGGAAATTTAGAATGGTTTGTTGTCTTTCTTATGGCTAGAGGCATCAAGACATCCCTCTCGAGTTTCCGGACACGAAAATGGATTCTATCAAGAAAATTGATAACTCAGGGAGACAGGGCTGTGGTTAAATAATTACGTGCTGATTTTGAAAGGTTGTTTCGCCTTCCGCGATAATGGGCTCTGTAAGAACCGATAGAGTAAGAATTATAGAAGACAAAGCGCTCTTAACTAATTGGTATCAATGACTGTCACAACGAGGTGAAATTCACGGGCTCTCAGGAAGAAAGTCGCAACTGGCGTCGTAGTTCTTTTGTATAAATAATTTGACTGTCATAGATGTTCTTAAAGGCAAAAATTACTTATAAACTTTCTGATCTTGAGTTTAATTTAAACTTTGAAGAGTGCGTTTGAATGACAGGGCAGAGAACCTGTTAGCGATAAAATAAAGAAATTGGAATAGCGAAGAATCCGAGTAAAGAATGAAACAAGTTCAGAAAAATATTTTTTTTAGAAATAAAAGTGAAAATGGACCATTAAGTGATTGTCACAATCAGAATGATTCAGTTCTTCTGTAATTTCCTTTTAAGCAACGGCTAATAAGAATAATTAGAGACAGGAGATTGACAGACTGCTTACCTTGTAGTGGACAGATATATCCTTCTTTGATTTGACATAGGAAGCATTTCCTCAAATGTTGAACATGAACTCATTCACCGATGCTTGCTGTCTTAGTCAAGTAGATACATACAGTGTATGCACCTTGTGAAAACACATTTCTCGTACAAACTAAGTATATACCATGGCTGTGGACTTTATATAAACATGCCAATAATGGTTGTCAACCCTCTCCCCACCCCAACCCCACACACACCTCACACCCCCTCTCCAATTAAAAAAAATTGAAGGGGGGTGACAACCATTATTAGCATGAGTATAGTTTAAAGACTAAAATCACTAAAAATATAGATAAATCTAAACCGAGTTTCATTGTTTGGCTGAGGAGTAAATGTCCTTTTAAAAAAAGCAAAAGTACAATTATTTTTAGGGAATCGTTCATTGACTAAGTGTTAGTCTAGGCATAGATGTGCTCATTTGACCAGTACGTCGTCATAGGTGAAATGTGCAAGTGAATATAGGTTATATGTTATATGAACGTGTCCATCAAATTTCAACAGTCTTTCAAAGTTAACCAGTGGACAAACAAAACTGCGTGTACGTCATACAGTGTCTTTCATGACACGATTGATTTAATTTGTAGCCCTCACCTATTTACTCGATTTACTCTTTGGAATAAACGTGTTCCGTTGATAATATCTTACATTTGCACGAGGCTAATCTTTTTCCGAATCATTCAATCCTAATTCCAATATATACATTACCCGTTTTTAATAATGTCCAGTAACACACTTGATGAGAGTGTAATACAAGTTCAGTTTGCAATTATACTCATGCCAATAATGGTTGGCACCGCCCTCCGAACCCCAACCCCCACACCACACCCCCTCTCCAATTAAAAAAAGTGAAGGGGGTGACAACCATTATTGGCATGAGTATACTTTGAGTTTCACAACATTCACTTGTATGTGTTCAACAATCAAATTCATAATTCATTGTAAAGCGAAATCCCTTTAATTCGGACACCATGACACAATTTATAGAAATCGCCCGGATTGTGAGGATTTCTGACAAAAGGGGTTACTGTGGACAGTATAATAACCAATGTAATAGGCGTAGATTAGGGTAGATATTTTTAGTGATTCACTCATAATAGACATCGCTATTTTTCCTTTTACACCCAATCTCCCTCGTTCAATACTCGGGCCGGTAGGACAGCCTAGTGCTGAAAGCGTTCGCTCGTCACGTAGCATACCCGGGTTCGATTCCCCGCATGGGTAACATGTGTGAAGCCTATTTCTAGTGTCCCCCGCCGTGATATTGCTGGAATATTGCTAAATACAGCGTAAAACTAAAAGCTCACTCACTCTCTCGCTCAATACTCAAGAGGGTTGACAGTAATTGATTGTCTTGGACATGTTATTCAATTAAGCAACACAACGATGTGTACTTTTTACTGGATAGGTAAAATACGCCTTGATTACAATTGGTTTCTACCTGATTAATTTGATAAAACAGTTTCGCATTATCAGTTTTAAGTACAGTAAACTACGTATATACCGAACACGCTTATAACGAACTGACGGATATACCGAACTGACGGATATAACGAGACGGATATAACGACCTGACGGATATAACGAACTGACGGATATAACGAACTGACAGATATAACTGAGTTTTTTTTTGTCCCAGTCACTTGCTGGTATTTTTCAGTGGAAACACGCATAACGAACTACTGTTATAGCGAAGTAAAATTAGTGTTTCCTTGAGTTCGTTATAACCGAAGTTAACTGTAATTTAATTCCAATCTTATAACACTATTAATATATTTATAAATATGAGCTACAAACTCGAAACGTATAAAAATAACAGCGATTACAGTATTATAAATACATTTAGACTATCAAACAACTTTATGTATACATATGTATTACTGAACAAAGTTACTAACAATGAATATGATCATGAATTGAAGACACAATGTGTCCAATATGTTCATGATCCTGAAATTTTTGTTTAGTATATTATGCTGGCATATAAGATTAAAAACTTTTAGAACTTTTATCTATTCCATACCATCTTAAATTGATGAATGAAAACCATAGTTTTGATAACATATACACTGAATTAAATAAACCACAGCATCAGTGTTGTCCTGTCAGATGAAGAAATGGAAAACTATGTTCTGTTTATTTTTAATTTTATACATCAACATTTGTACAATTAACCCAGAAACCTACATGCACAAACAGTGAAGATAAATGTAACTACAAATATTCAATGTATTTAGTTATCTAATGTGTACATAGCACATAGACATTCCGTTGACGGCTTAATGTAATGCAAACACTTACGCACCTTAATTAAACTCTATGTGTATTACATAACTGAATCGTTTTTAGACAATTTCAGTTAAAACATGGCTACCAGCATCCCCCATATAATCAACGAGGAAATTGAAACCCTATGCCGACACCATCCACTTCCTTAACTGGGAGTTCTTAACCCATATTTACTTTTACAATTTAAATTAAATTCCAAAGATAACAACAACGAACATAATAGCATGTTTTCATCAAAGAAGGTTCTTCAAGCCGGAATTTATTTGCAAATTAAGGGAATCGTTATTTATGCATGATGGTGGCTACATGGGGGTCAGAACTGCACGTGCAAATTATGCCAGTAATTGCTGGCTTTGGTAGGTTATAATCTTCGCTACTGCGTTTGCAATATGACACCAAGTGTAATTAGTACTTTATCGCCCATACTTTCACCAGGTTCCGACCTCTGAAGACAACTCGTCTCCACATTGTAGCATCTCTGTCAGCTTGTCACTCAGTTATTGGAATAAACAGTTTATACTCCCCGAAAAACATATTCACCCTTATCACGACAGATACAATTTGGCGATACAGCGTAGGGAACGGCTCATATCAATTCACACATTTTTTTCTGTAGTTGACCTAAAGAGGGCGCTCGTTAACAACTTCCGGTGCCCCGCAGCAAAACGAATAAATAGTGTAGTGACGCGGAGGATGATGGGACGCAAAACACGTTCCCCAACACGATGAGTTGGTTTATCTAACGGCACTACAAGCTCTTATGCTCAAAAGGTTTATTTTCATTCCAGACAAATAACTTGATCTTTGGCCGTTCCGTTTTATCACATTGGACATGGATGAAATATATGCTGATAAAATATCATGTTCGCAGAATTTGTTCCTTGGTGATGAAATATGGTCCAACTTTTCGTCTTGAGATAGTGAAAAGGTTTATGTGTTTAGGTTATTAACAAATATAGAAACAGTCTGAGTTCGGGCTATTAAGACTTAAAAAGATGTACGTATTTTTGTTTTTGTAAACAAATAAAGCACATATTAATTGCTGATGTAGCTACAAAGTATTGCGAGAGAGTTAAAGACACAGTGCAAAACGTGTGGCCCATGCACAGAATTAAAGGAACCGGGCACAGATATAGAAAAATTGTCAGTTTAAACTTTTCGCGAACATCTGATACCATCACTGGCTTTCAGAGATCTGTGTAATATTAGCCGCTACTTTGTCCCCAGGGTCTGTTTTGGGAACAAAAAGACAGGCTACTTCCTGGCGTTGAGGTTTTGTTTTAAAAGTTAAATGCGCCATGCTTCCTATATTAGACATGGAGCCCATTTCTGGTGTCCCCGGGGGCGGTGGGGTAGCCTAGTGGTTAAAGCGTTGGCTCGTCACGCCGAAGACCCGGGTTCGAATCCCCACAAGGGTACAATGTGTGAAGCCCATTTCTGGTGTTCCCCGCCGTGATGTTGCTGGAATATTGCTAAAAGCGGCGTTATACCAAACTCAGTCAGTCAGTGAGTCTGGTGTCCCCTGCCGTGCTATTGCTGGAGTATTGCTAAAAGCGGTGTAAAACTAAACTCACTCAC